GTTTATTACTGCTAATAGATAAAAAATCAATGAATTGAAAAGTAAAAAAGAGAAAAGAAAAAATGATTGAAAAAAGAGAACAATCCAAGGCCCATCAAAAAAATCCAAAAATAAAAACAATCTTTTTTTAAAAAAGATCTGTCTAATTGAAATAGTCTTCTTGTTTCACTTGAATCTCAGAAGAAATCTTCTTTTTTATTACCTATAGCATCAAATGAGTCAGTCCAACTAGTTCTCTATTTAAGTGAGTATCAGATTGTAATATCTTAAGAAAAGTATTTGGATCTTAGCTTTTTTTTATTAAAGCTTTGTTACCACTTAAAAAACTTAAGTAAGAGATAAGAGTTTGCAATCCATATTATCCATCACTTGGTTTTTTGGTATCATGGAAGTTTTCATTAAGGAACTTAAGCTTTTGAGAGCAAATATTTTTGAAATCTTCTTTTAAATTATCAATAATATCATTGGAACATATGAATATGACCAATAAGAACTTGTTTACATTCCAATAATCAACATGTTTCATATTAACCAATTACCTTTGATGAGGACTTGTGCTATCCAAAATTTAAGGTCAAACTGAGATAGGCAAAATTTTCTAGAAAACTGTGAAAGTGGAAGCTCTAAGAGGACCAAGACAGTCAAAAAGAGAGAAAATAAGCTTTTTTACTACAGAAATCTCTATAAACCTTTTGTTTCAAAGATAAAATAGGTCTTCAAATACTTTACAGTCAGTTCTTCTTTCTTTGGAAACTTTTTTGCTATTGGTATCAAAAGTATTACTTGACTTTTCTTAATCACTAAAATTCAAGTTTTTGAGTGAAAAGGTTTGTAAATAAAAAAAAAAGAGTAGAGATGATTCTTAAAGTTATACTTCAAGTTGTTTTAAGGGAAATATTAAGACTTTATTAGCAAAAAGTATAAAAACTTCTTATAAACATCTTTTTGTGTGTGGTCAGAGAATTAGCAGAAAGAATTATTATTAATTTGAATTAAAGTCTTTTTTTAGAATAATATATAGTAATTATTAATAAACAATAATTTTATTAATTAAAGAAGTTATTTAAATTAATAAAAAAGCAAAATATTATTTTCTAAGTTATATTTAGAGAAATAGTTTTTTTATGATAAGTGAATTAATATATAAAAGTCATAACAATTTGTAAATATTTAACATATATATAATAAAAATAAACTAAGCTAATTTAATTGTAGGTTAAAAAAAAATATAATATATATTTGGATATTTATTTAATATTTTTTTTTTTAAACCACAACTGGTATTAGATGCAAGCTGTTTATTGATAATTAAATCTTAAGCATTACATCAATTATCTCATACATATACATGTAGATTAATGATAACTTATTATGGCTTGTCCTAGGCAGACCTGCTTGAAATCTCCCTGTAGGTGAGCATACCTGACTAGGGACCGAATAGTTGATAACAGTCATCAACGGTGATGTTGATATAATTAGCTAATTCTGTTAATAAGGGACTACTATACTAACTTATACACTAGTGTCAAATCCTCAAGAATTATTTTAACTACTCAGATACACCGATACTTTTCACTTGAACCTCGAAAGGGATTTCTATTTTCTTTGTCACTACTTGTGGCATTATAGACAAGTCCTGTTTGACAGATCCTTCATTTAAGCAAGCACTGGATTGGGATATTCCAAGTTAGAATAGTCAAATTCCAGATCCTGCTAGTATAGTTTGGGGTAGGGAATGTTCAGATGATTGCCGCAGTCCTAAAAGTAGGGTCTCAGAGTCTGCTGGTATAGTTTGAGATTGGTGATATGTTCAAATGATTACTGCAGTCCTAAAAGTGGGGTCCTGGAGTTTGTTTCTTATCCAGTTTAGGGGGGTTAGGTTGGGCATAATTCGTGTAACCAGACCAGAGGCTTTTCTTCATGCAATTCTCGTGGTAGATCTTTTCAGTCCAATAATTAACAGGGAGACCAGAAGTTTCATTCTTGTGCAACCTGAATATTTTTTTCACATAACCCTTGTGCGATATTGAACTCTGGACCTTGTGATTGCAACCTAGAAGTACTATCACTATACTATAGACTCACAGGTTTTTTTTTAATTTGCAATTATGTTACAATAGTTTGTCTTTATTAAGAAATTAAAACAAAATCTATAATAATTATAAACTTTCACAAAGTAATCAACTTATCTTTATATATTGTATAAATATTCCAAGTTAAATTTTAAGAACAATATTATACTTCCCTGATAGATTAGTAATAATTTCTATCTATTAAGATTATTGCTAATAATTTGTTATTATTAATTAATCTAAAAACCAATAAATTACTAAATTAAAAAAGTGAAAGGAAAAAATTAATTGCCGGAAGAAAACAATTAAAGATTCATTAAAAAAGTTCAAAAATAAAAACAATTTCTTTTAAAAAAAAATCCATCTGATTGAAATAATTTTCTTGTTTTATTTGAATCTTGGAGAAAAAATTTTTTTTTATCACTTGTAATATCAGATGAGTTAATATAATTAATTTTTTATTTATAAAAATATCAAATTGAAATATCTCAAAGAAAATATTTAAACCTTAGCTTTTTTTAATTAAAGTTTTATTACTATTTAAAAAACTTAAATAAGAAATAAGAGTTTACAATTCATTTTATATTCTTTTGATGTCATGGAAGTTTTTATTAAAGAATTTGAGTTTTTAGGATAAATATTTCTAAAATATTCTTTCAATCATCAATAATGTTATCTGAATATGTGAATAATCAATAGAAACTTGTTTAATTTTCAGAAATTAACATATTTTATATTAGCCAATTATTTTTGGTGAAAATTTGTACTACCAAATATTCAGGTTCAAATTAAAGTAGGCAAAATTTCTTAAAAAATCATAAAAATAAAAACTTTGAAAAAGTTAAAATAGTTTAAAAAGAAAAAATAAATCTTTTAACTATAACAAAACCTTTATAAATTTCTTACTTCAAAATAATAATCACAGAAAATCTGAATGCATAATCTGCGAATGATCAATATCATATATATAATATAAAAAATTTATTATAAAAATTTTTTTTAAAAAATAATTTTTTAATTAAAAACTTTTTAAATATCTATTCAAATTTAGCAAATAATATATCATTCGAAAGCCCTAATTGCAAGAAATCCAATAATGATAAAATTATTCATGTCTAATTATTAATTATAAAGTTATAGCTATTTTAAATTTTTTTAAAAATAATTATAACTGGTGATTAAACTTGAATTATTTTATTATCATTGAATTCCTTACAATTAGAGCTTTTAAATGATATATTATTTATTAAATTTAAATAAATATTTAAAAAGTTTTTAATTAAACAATTATATTTTAAAAAAAATTTTTTACAATAAACTTTTTTATATTGTATGTATGATATCAATTATTTGTGGATTGGGCATTCAAATTTAAATCAGATTTTTTGTGATCCTTATTTCAAAGATTAAAAAAACCTTTAAGTACTTTATAATCAATTCTTATTTTTTTGAAATTTTTTTTGTTATTGGTATCAAAGATGTTATTTAACTTTTCTTAATCACTAAAAGTTAAGTTTTTGAGTGAAAAAATTTATAAATAATAGAGGAAATATAGAAATGATTCTTGAAGTTTGACTTCAAGTTGTTTTAAGAAAAGTATTAAGATTTTATTAGCAAAAAAGTGAAAAATTTCTTACAAATATCTTTTTTATATGTGATCAGATCAGTGAAAATTTTTATTATATAATTAAGAATTAAAAAAATAAATTATTTATCATCTCCTAAGTTTCATCTAAAGAAGTTAAACTTCTTAAAGATGAGTAAGCTGTCATGTGAAAATCTTTGAAATTGTATATGTTAAATATACAATAAAGATAAGCCGTGTCAGCCTGATGGCGGATTAAAAAAAAAAAAATAATAATAATAATTTTTTTTTATCATAAATATACTGTATCTTTGTTGATTCTTTTTAACTTAGATCATTTATATACCAAATATTATATTAAAATTCTTGTACCCTGATTAACATTTACAGTATGCTCATTCTCAATTTTGAAGTTTTGGCCTGTGACACGGATAAGATCCCATAAATATCATGAATAGTAATTTCCTCCGCGTACTACTGTATGTAGCGTAACGGTTAATAGACTTCTGCTGCAATGTTTATGCATGTACTACCGAAATCACAAGTATATATAATATAAAGCTAGCTATTTAGCTATCAATTAATAGTTATACACTTTTCCGTCTCCTAGGCCATAAAATATAAGGAAAAATGACGTCAACTTTAAAAATTCCTTCAACAGCAAAATTTTCAAGTGGTTACTTTCAATTTACGGTTTCATCGATTTCGCAGATTAATGATCCGGTATTCAGTCCACCTTTCGCCTCCTCCGTTGATACATTTTGGCAACTAAAGTTTATTCCGGTAAGTAAATTTTCGTAGTTTGTGTCTATCCTTCGCATTTTTGTTACAATTGTACTGAAAAAGAAGAATTAAAGGTCTCCGTCGAAAGTCCGGAATACTGTTCTCTGGCACTATTCTGGGTGCGCAATCCTGAAGAAAGGAGAACAGGTTGTCCATCTAGCGAGCGACTTAAAATGAACCACGCATGGTTATTCGTTAAAGATCCTGATACTAATATCGAATTGGAAAAAAAAGTTGTGAAAATCGATGCGTTCAAGAAGCGTTGGCCTGGCCAAGGTGAATGATGATTTAAATGTCATTTCCACCTTGATACCAATTCTCAGTCTCATTCTAAAATAATCATCACATTTCATAGGATTTGCTCGGTTTATACAAAGAAAGAAAATCGGCGACAAAGCGACCTTTGGAGTTGAATTTGGAATGTTTTCAATTCATCAAAAAGAAGTACACTTATTGCCACCCAACAGTTTTCCATCAGATCTACGCGACGCGTGGTCAGATCAATTGGATAGTCCTACGAGTTCCGACGTTCATTTTAACATCAATGGTCACTCCCTGTATGCCAGCAGTAATGTACTCTCTAAACGATCAACATATTTCAAAAACATGTTTCAAGGTGATTGGGTTGAAGTTAATATGGAAAATAATTTTTACCCGGAAATAAAAGTTGAAGCTGCCTCGAGCGAACACGAGACAGCAACGGCGGAAACAACGACAACAACGACCACAGCGACCACAACGACCACAGCGACCACAGCGACCACAGCAACAACAGCGCCCGTTCCATCCACGGTCAAATACAACATCGATGTTACCGATTGTTCTGTGGAAGTTTTCCGGAATATGTTAATTTTCTTGTATACCGACACCGTGTCTTTTAAAGAAGACGATCATCAACTCGAATCAGCTGTCGAGATATATAGCATCGCGGACAAATATCTAATCGGAGAGCTAAGAAGTCGATCGCTACAAAAAATTTGGGAATGCTTGACTGATGACAATGCGGCAGAAGTTTTATTTACATTCGGATCTCAATGGCCCGATCTTAAAGAAACCGTGATGGATTATGTTGTAACGAGATTTAAGTCGGTTAGAAAAACCGAAGGATACCTTCGAATCGAAAAAAACAATGCGGAATATCCAGGAGCTAGTACAGTTTATGCCGAACTACTTCAAAAATTAATTCCGGATAACTAATAGGATCTAATGTGGTTTATGGGTTTTCCAATTTCGCAAAAAAGATCAGTAGTAGTTATCGCGGGAATGAAATAGATCTTCCAACACGCCATCTGAAACGACTAAGGAAAAAATGATTCAGGGACATCAAACGAAAGCCCTTTTATTGGTACATAAAAAGAATAAAAGAGAATAATAAACCCGCGTTACTGATTTTAAAAAAAGTTAAAAAAAACTAACTTCTTCATATAAGTAAAAGACGCGTGTTCACTCTAAGAAGGGAATATTTTTTGATCATGGAAGTTCCCCTATGATAACCTTTAAATTGCCTAATGAATTTTTTTTTTTATGAAATACGCATCTCGAAGGAAAATTTCTAATGGCATGAGAATGCCTTTTTTAATTGCAATATCGACTCATGAGGGAATGGTGAGAGGACTTGCGTACACTTCGGTATTATTATTAACTAAGACGCAGCGAAACTCATCGTTATTTAACATTTATCGTCTTGTAAATAAAATTTGTGCCAATCTTCCCAAACCATTCAAAAGGCAATAAATTATTGAGAGTGATCTTAAACTTCACTTCTTTCCGGATGCTCTCGAAGATTCGGCAGGAGGAGTATCGGGTATCATCAAGGTCAAAGTTTCTTCCATCAGTTCTGCCGAAGTTGGGTATCGTCTACCAATGCTTTTCCACTCCTGAGTTTTTCTGATCTTCCCAAAGTTTTTTACAATGTAATTTGTAACCATCTCTTTTAAGTCTGGCCATTTCCACGCCCACCCGAATAATACGTCGCCCGCAGTCTCAGGTGTAAGATCTCGATCGATCTTAGCCATTGCTCGTTGCCTCAATTCCGAGATCAAATACTTGTCCGCAATTGCAAATACTTCAAGCACGTTATCGCGTACAGCATTATTCGGATTTATAGGACTCGCACGACCGGTGTAAAGGAATCTCAACATCGTCAGAAAGGTGTCATAATCGAAATCGGTGATTTCGATGTTATACCTGATAGGTGCGTATGTCATCTCTGTTTCTTGTGCTGCCGGTGACGCATGAGACGTTTCCGGAGTAGAAAATGGATGGTGTTTACTATAAGCGGATAATTGATTTGAAACCATCGATTCAGCCCATTGCTGTTGAAAAAGTCGCGCGAAATACACCGAGCGCTTTGAAAGCAATGAGCTACTTGCATATATTTTACGATCGTCGATATTAAACTGAACATCAACAATATCACGCCTATTCAATTGTTCTTCCCATGCAGAGATTAGGTCATCGGACGTGGAGGCAACAGGAAAAGGCATTGGTATCCTGTGACTTTGCCATTGAGCCACTCGAAATCCGACGCCTATGATAAGATCATCGGGAAACTTGGAACGCGGGAAAAACTGCGCGGCTCCTTAATCATGATAATAAAATATTGATATTAATGAACACGCATAACATAATAATTTTTAGGAAAAATGTGAAACCCGGGTACCTCTTTGCGGTTTCTTAAAAGTGAACTTGTCATTTGCGACAAAGCATTTCTTAAGATAAGGTCTAATTGATAAAAAGGATGCGAGGGTTAGTCTCAGGAACCGTGAAAATGATCGCCCGACGCATACTTACGGTACGAATCCACTGTCGTGATCCATCATTATCAGATTAGATGTTGGATCTCTTAGATAGATCATGGCGGGCAGTATGTGTTGACGTTGACCGACACCCGTGGACATGCTTTCTTTTTTATTCAGGAGGGCCACCAAGAAAAGCGAACAATATGTGGGATGTTCAGTGTTCACCTAAGTTTTTTGAAAAGGTATTTTTCATGGTTCCAATTTATTCATGTATGCCGAATAAACAAAGAAAAATGTTCTATCTGAAGCGTAATTGTCGGAAGATTTTCAATGTGAAATCCAAAGTGTGGAATACTTGCTACACTATACTACATATTCGAAGCCTACCGGAACGAACTTTAATTGCCAGAAAATATCCGACGAAGTTCCAAACGGTGGGGAATAAATGGGGCCATCAAGTTGTTTAACATTATTGATTGTGAATTCAAAAGTCAACTTTGACGTGGAAGAATTATTTGCGATGTTGACGGGGCTATCACTTGAGATCGTGCCAATGTCCATTTTCTATCATATGGTGTAGTCGCGAAGTAGTTGATCTCTGAGGAAAGAAGCTACTATTGTTGATTATTTAAGGATCAGAGTCAGTGGACATCAATTACAAATTCAACATAGGAATGTAGGTTTAATTAAAATAATAATTTACTATTTTTACTGTACGTGCATAAATTTTTGGGGGGGATTAGTGTAATGTATAATTTTTAACCATCTTTTGAATGTATCTTATTTTTCATGATAATCATCGCCGTGCGACCAGTCATATCTATTTGTCGATTGTTCGATTAAAATGAAAGGAGATCAAGGCGACTTCTATTTATGGATCTTTTTTTTTTTTGCTCACATGATCTCTTCCCTTTAATTTGTTAGGCGCAGTATATGATTTACGGATTTGGGAAATTCAAAAAGGAAAAATAAGTATCAACATTCTTATACATGTGCGATCTCAGGTGTTTTTCTCAAGTCTTGAAGTTTTGATGCCGCAAACGATGGTCTGTTCATTATCCCGATAGATACTCGCGTCAAATCTCCCTTTCGTTGAAGAATGTAAAGATAACAAAGGCATCGATGCCTCTACATTTATCAATCGAGCAGAACATTTGAATTCGCCGAATCCCTCTTTCTCAAAACTTTCCCACTTCACTTGTCAGAGAAACGTCGGATCCGAAAATGTTTACCTAGAATGAGTACTCACGATGCAAGGCTCAAGAATTGAAATAACAATAGATCGCATCGGACGAGTGAAGTGCTCAGGGCCCACCAAATAATCGTCTGTCTCTTAAAACTCGAACTTCCACCTTTAATATTTGGATCATGGCATCGGAGATATCAACCTTACATAAGCGTGAAATTCCGACTTAAACGAACCTATTATATGACCAAATTAGGCTGACACCGGAAAGTTACACAGCACTTGAATAAAATTAAGCACCCTTTATTTATTCTTGCATGTCTCTACAGTTACATAATTCTCTTTCATTATTATCCGTCTTCTTTCTTTCGCCCTTACCTTTCTTGCTCTATTATTTATTATTCTTCTCTTTCCCATTTTAAGTCACTTCATGATATCAAAAAAAGTATCGACCAGTAATGCACACCTTACCAACCATATGGCCAATTCAAACTTACGAAACACCGGTTCTAATAATAACAGGGACAGAGTGGAAGATCGTTCTGATCTTTGCGATGTTATGATTCGTGTTGGTGAACATCTGGACGTAAAAACGTTCTATGCAGATTCGAAATTACTGAGTTCAAAATGTTCTTACTTTCGCACTGCCCTATCAAGCAATTGGGCGAGGAAAGAGGATGGTGTTTTCATAATCGAAAAACCGAATATCTCGCCTAAAGTTTTTGAAAATATTTTGAGGTAAACGAGATAGTCATTTGACTTGTTCATCTACGATCCGAATTATTGTCAACTTTCTTTCTTTTCTTAGGTATATTAAGGGTGGTGACGTAAACTGGAATGCACTGGATGGTCAGGAATTCCTTGGAATTTGGCTAGCGGCTGAAGAATTTATGCTGGATGAATTGGAAAAAAAGGTGCGAGAATTCTTTGAGACAAAGGAAGAACGCTTGAGGCCAAATTTTATTCAGATACTTCGATTAGTATATCAGAATGATTCCTTAGAACGATTTCGAGGTAATTGTGTAGACATTATTAATACAACGACCTGGTTTCAGGACAATCCGGAATTTGATTCTCTGGATGGATCAATTTTCCAAAGTTTACTTAATGACGAAGAACACTATGTTTACGATGGTGTCATGTGGAACTTACTGATTCAGTGGGCTTGTGCTCAAACACCGAAGTTAGATATTTCCAAACGGGATAAGTGGTCCGTGGAGGAATTCGAATCATTAAGATCTAGGATCAGTCACTTCCTCCCTTACATAAAGTTTTCCCTAATCTCTCGAAACGACTTCTACGAAAATGTTTTACCTTGCAAAGCCATATTGCCGGCAGAAACGACATCAAACGCATCATTACAATATTACCTCCATTATATTGATGAGGATGGAAATCCTAGACCTGATGTATTAAGGCCAAATGTGACCTTGGATGATTCAAAAATCGTGAATCACACCCATGTTGCTGTGATCGCGCGATGGATCGATTCAGGTAGAGAAAAAGAAAATAACAATTGTTTTGACATATCAGCATCTATCAGCATACATTCTTTTGATTCAAATAGCAATAATACTTTGGATGAGACCTCATCGACTGAAGGAGATCAAGAACCCGCGCATGATGCAAAAACAAAATCCGATGAAAAGGTATCGAAACACTCGTGGAAGCCATCTTCTTTGAAACGACTTTGGCCTTTGCGCAAACATAAAAAACCAAGTAACGCAGACCCCACTAGTACCAAGAAAGTTAATCATAATCATAATAAGCAGCACAATACTCTTAATCATAACCATGCTGATTCTATTCATCCGAGTAAAGACATTGGCACTGTACCCAGCATTCAAGTTAAGGCCCCTTCAATTGCATCTGACTACTCCTCGCACTCCACGTATCACTTTAAGTTAATATATAGAGGTAGCCGAGATTCGTTTGACAACAAGTCATATTGCGCGAACTGTAAAGGAAAGGGTGCGACTGTTGTGGTGGCATCCGTTAGTCGCACGAGATTCATTGTTGGCGGATATTATCCTATCAGCACTGAAGGATCTTATCCAATCATGGTGTTTGCCGGATCAATGGATGCCTTCATATTTTCCTTTGGCGAGGGTGATAATCCTGAGGAGGAGTCTATAATCAGCAGAGTGTTGAAGGAGCACGCGCATGAGGCCATATGTCGTACGCTTTATGGTCCTGGATTTGGTGATAACGATCTTATCATCAAACTCGCAGGACAAGATCAGCCAAAGAATGGTATTTGTGGCAAAAGATTTTACGAGAAACAGATTATGGATACGAGTATGTTCAACTTTGATGAGGTTGAGGTATTCCAAATTATCAAGAAGGACCGGTGATTACAAGATTTGTAATTGTAGATTATATTTGTTCAGCGTGTTGAATGTTAACGCTGCGATTAGTGAGTGTGAATTTTTATTTTTTACTATTATTCTTTTTATTTTATTATTTTTTTTTCTTTACTATTATGTACATATATTTGATGAAAGTTGCCGTGATGAAAAATTTAAAAGATAACAATTTAGAATTTAATTTTTTTCATTTCTTTTTTTTTTTTTTTTTTTTTTTTGGTGCCAATAAATATTATGTATTTAAGACACCGAGATCAAAGTTTTTTTTCTTAGTAATCAGATTAACATCTGCTTGTAAATTAATTGTTAAGCATTCAATTTCCAGTTTTGGTAAATACAGGTATACTCAATAAAATGCTATTCAGATCAATAATGGGGGGTTTTTTTTTTTAAACCTGTGGTCAAGTTAGTATAGTGTGTTTATTAATTTTTAAGAAAACCGATAGAGATACATTAAGCAATTATATTATGGTTAAATTAAATCTCATGTTGATTCACTTGTCAATGGCTTTCAATTCTCAAATAAGCTTCAACCTCTAAGTGTAACTTTGGGAACAATATTTTATTCTAGAATTAGTTTTGGATAAATATTTATTCAACTTATTCATTATTGCTAGTAGATTGTTGCTATCTATTATACTTTAAGAAATTGATTTCAAGAAATTACAATAGGAAAAATAAAAAATAAAAAGAAATGGAATATCCAAAAATATACAAATATATGTACAGTATATGAAAAGAAAAAAAAATAAATAAATAAAAGTATTTTTTATATTTTAAAGGATCACTACTAGAAACTTTTTCTCATTATGATTCAATCCTTTTGAAATATTCTTCTTCTTTTTAACTATCTGAGAAATTTATTTATCTATGACTTTGATTATTTTCTTATAATTATCAAAAATACTTATCACCTATTCAGATTTAGTATCTTGCTTATTACTTCCTTTTTTTCAGTATTTATTTTGAATTTGTCTATATTCTAATTATAGTTTATAATGGACTTCAGGTTTTTATATAACCTTTTAATCATGTTGTATAACATTCAATATCTTCTAGTAGTTATACTTAGTTAAAAGAATTTTATTAATAAATATCTTCTATTGTTTAAAAAGTTAGATTATCCATAATTTTTTTACCTTATAATAGTATAAGGGTATCACAGAGTAATGAAAATTCTTGTCAATTATAATATCATTATACAATATCTGAAAAAATGTATTCTCAATTTTAAAAAAGAATAGTAATTCATAATTTTCTGTTTTTTTAGCCTTACTGCCTAATTGGAATAAAGAAATAATCTTATTCATATACTTTACTTAATTAAAATAATAAGAAGTTAAAGATTTTGGCTTAAATAAATAACTATCTTTTTATTATCTAAAAAATTTAGTACCTATTTTAATAATCTTATAATTTTTTTTACTTTGATTACACTTTATTTAAAAAAGTAAAAGATTTTATAGTAATAGTTTCTCTTTTTTTTATTAATAACATTATTAAAACATATAAGTATAACCAATAAAAACTTGTTTATATTTTGTTATTAATATATTTTATATCAGTCAATTAAAAACCAAGTAATATTATTTTATCAAAAATTTAAAATCAAATTGGATAGGCAAAATTCTCTTTAAAAAACTATAAAAAACTATAGACACTTTTAGAAAAAAAGAGACAATATATAAAAAAGTAAATAATAAACCTTTTCTTGTTTAAAAAACCTTTATCTTTATATTATTTTCAGTTCTAAAGATAATATGTCACAAGTTAATAATAAATAAATAAAACTCTTTTTGCAAATTTCTCAGATCCTTAGAAATTTCCTTTTTAGACAATACACCTAAGGAAAAAGACAACATACATAACTCAAGACATATACTCTCACAACACCAACATACAAGAGACATCTTAGTACAGAACAACACTTTGTGTATAGTTTTAGTCTAGTGATTACTGAGAAAACATAACATATATTAACAATCTTGGCCTTTTTCTCTTTCCTAGGAAGAAGGAAACAAGTCAACATAAACTGATTCACAGTCAGAAAAGGGGAGCCAATATCAACTTCACAGAGCTTGCAGCCAGGCCAGTGTAGGT